AAAAACAAAACAAAATTTCGTTCTGAAAATACGATCACATTTTTTATATTACTTTAATTTATATTAATTATTATTTTCTGGAGGCAAATGATTAAAAATAAAACCGCTTGGTTCCATACTTTATATTCAGCCTGTATGTATACAGGCTGTCCCAGCGAGTTGAGAAAGTCCATTAAATGGTACAATTAGAAAAAAATTATATAGGACCTTGACAGATATACAGCGTGTCTTAAAAATAAGTTACAATACAAACGTGTGTGACGGTTTGTTTGACGAAAACATGCACTTTTTAAAAATGTATTACACAAAAACTAAGACGTTTAGAAATATTTTTTTACTACCGCAAAAAAGAAGGTACAAGCTAAATGGTTGTAACATTTTTTTCGTGTGTTGCATTTGCAAAAATAAAAAATTAAGGCGTTTGTTGAAAGTTCAATAACCTGAAAAATTTTAATGGAACACCTATTTATTGTTTCTGCATTTAAAAGATTGTTAACTTGTCTTTCTAAAATTATTTACTTTTAGGTGTTTATAATCAATAACTAAAAAGATATTTAACGTTAAACATAAAAAAATTATTACTAATTTTTCAGTAACCAAAAAGTGCCCAGTTGCACAAGAGATTGAAGAAATATCACTTAATAATTACATTTGTGTTAAACTGAATCTATTATTCTTTATTTTTACAATAAAACAATTCGAATTTCAGTATTTATAACGACTTTTACAATCTCTGGATAAATCAACGGATATTGATAGGCATTGTTGCTACAATTAATATTGAATGTTAAATATCTTTTCATTTATCAATTGTAGACATTAAAAGTTTATTTTTTTAGATAGACAATTTATCAATCTATTAGATGCAAAAATAAAATATAGGGTCTTCCATTGAAATTTTTTAAGTTATTTAACTTTTAACAAACTTTTTAATTTATTAATCTTAACAAATGCAAAACACTAAAAAATTGCTACAGCTTTAACTTCTTCCTTGTAGAAGGTTTTGTTCTAGCTGTCTTAATTTTTGTGTAATAAATTTTTAAAAAATGCATGTTTTTGTCAAAAAAACGTCTTTTTTCTAAAACTAAGCACAATCGACTAATAAAAGTTTAGCATATAACATTGTTTCAAAAGGCTACATCCAAAAATTCTAAGAAATATACGGTGTTTCATATAAAAAACACAAGTTTGTATCGTAACTTATTTTTGGAATAAGCTGTATGGTTAAAAATGATTTTAGGTGATGCACTAGATTAGTATCTATCAATGTCCTATCCATTTTTTTTTAAATTTTACAATATAAAGGTCTCTAATGGACTTTTTCAACTCGCTGGAACATCTTGTATATAGGATGCGCCAGAATTCGCGCCCCAGAGAAAAATGCCATATAAGATAAGAAATATGGAAAAAATGTTAAAAAAATTTTATCTACAAAAATTTCGAAGTTATAAGGGTTTAAAGTTTGCACTTTGACTCTATTTATTTCTGTTGGAAAAATAATTTTCCAAGTTTTTTTGCTATAGGCTATTAAAAGAGGAAACAAGAAAGCTGTATCCTAAATTGTAACTCTGTTCATTTGTGGCTTTTAGTGGCAAAATTTTTGTCCCTTTACTAAATAATTGTAAAAAAACATATACAAGATCATCAGTATCCTTAAATAGATATAAAAAAATGTCAAATGTCAAAAAATAATTGTCAAAATTTTTTAAACATTTTTTTCATGGTCCTGGTTCCACACCTTACTTAAAAATTTTCTCTGGGGCGCGAGTTCTGGCGCACCCTGTATATTAGGTATATCTAGAATTATTTTTACTCACTTACTAATGAATAACCAGTGTAGATTTTCGTAGGTGGTCCCTTCTCTTCCCTTCAAATAGTTTTTGTTTTTTATTTTTTTTTAATTTTGCTACAGAATGGGGAATAAATAAAACAAACATACCATTTAATATTTTATTTATACAAAAAGTGAATTCTATAAATAATATCTACATGATGATTGTTCAACGAAATTTACAATTATTTCAACAGGATGGAAGTAACTCTTGTGGGATCGTGAAGCTGTAGTTTGTTAATTTCCAAAGTAAAGATCTGTTTTTATACATAGTTGGATAAAATATGACAGATGGAACTGGGATTTTAGTACAGTGGAAGTGATGACGGTAGGATTGTTGGGCTTGTGGGGTGATAAATGAAAGTCGTATTTACAAGAGGTTTCATCTGATGTGTTTTATTATGAAGACAGAGATACTATATACAAGGGTG